GGGTACGCATCTCCGCCTGCATCGTATGGGTAACGCTGGCCCATTGAGAGGTGAAGAAGTCACGTATGCGATCCATGGTTGCCAGGAGATCGCGCCGCCACGGCGAGTCGCCGAGGTGCTTCTTCAGGACGCCGTGCATCCCTTCGAGACGGCTGTTGTTGCGCTGTCCGAGATGGCGATGCCCATCTACGTGGAAATGGACGAATTCCTCGGCGTCGGCGTCTAGCGCGGCTTCCCCGATGCGCAGAGCATCTCCGAGGAGTGTCGCGCCGTCCTCGTCGGCGTATCGGCCCTGCGAGAACGTCTCCACCCAGATAGCACGCTGCTCTGCCAGTTCCTCCTCGCTCCTCGAGCGCACGATCATGCGCCAGCCCTGTAGAACGCTGTCGAGGTGCTCTTCCCATTCGGGCCGCGTATGGAACACGCTCGACGTGTCGTTCAGCTTGTGGGATCCGAAGATACGCCGCAGAGGTGGCGCCGCTGCTACCTTGATATTCTGCTCGATGTGCCACAGGCAGAGGACGTTCTTCGCGCTGGGCCACACCGTCTTGCAGGCTCGGCGTAGGCGGCTATCGCGATCGGTCAAGAACACCGCAGGCTGCGGCGCTTGCACGAGCTCCACGAAGTCCTGGAGGGCTCTGCGCAGGTGGGCGTATCGTTCTCCTTTGAGGAGCGCTATACCAGCGGTGAACGTGTTGTTGCAAGCAGTCACGCCTACGATATGCAGGAGCGGCATATCGTACTTGTTGGTGCCGTTCGTGCAATCGACGAGGAGCACTGTAGGCCACCGTAGCAGCAGAGCTCGGGCTCTTCGGGTAGTGTAGACAATCGAGGTAAGCCTGCAAGTCAGCTAGGATGAGTGGTGGGCTCTCACACGCTCGTATCTGGGTCTCTTGTACCGCGGTATAGCTCGCCTGTAGCGTCCAGGTTGCGCAGGAGGGCCTCGGTCTCAGTACCACCGAGGCGGGCTCGGGTATGCAGTCGGTAAGCGGCATTGTAGATATCTTTGCGGGATAGCCGTACAGTGT